AGGAAAAAAAAGCGACCTAAGCCAATACAAGTACAGGTAAGAGTCGTCAATTTAATGGAGTCACCTTGTAACATCAACGTCATCAGTGGTATGAAAAGGAATGGAGTGAGTTACGTATATCCAGACATGGGTAATGGACACGCGCTTGCTCCGTTGCCCCTATACCTTTTCCTGCAACGCCCATTTCCTTCCTTCAACCACACTTCCTCTCCTTCTCTACCACACTTCCTCTCCTTCTCTACCACACTTCCTCTCCTTCTCTACCACACTTCCTCTCCTTCTCTACCACACTTCCTCTCCTTATCTACCACACTTCCTCTCCTTCTCTACCACACTTCCTCTCCTTCTCTACCACACTTCTCCTTCTCTACCACACTTCATCTTCTCTACCACACTTCCTCTCCTTCTCTACCACACTTCCTCTCCTTCTCTACCACACTTCCTCTCCTTCTCTACCACACTTCCTCTCCTCCTTTACCACTGCACTCTACCACCCTTCCCTCTACCACACACCTCCTCCACCACCATCATCACACTTCGTCTAAGCTTCACCAATTTACTGATAACTTCCAGTGAAAAAATTAAATGAAACTAACGTCATCTATTAGAACCTAACCTAAGGTAACCTATGCACGCCAAACCTAGCATGGGTAAGCCATTAGTGTCAAGCGAGAGGGTGTGTGTAGGTCGACCATGGTGCCCAACTGAGCCCACAACACCGGAAGTGGCTGTCCCTGTGGCGTTATTGGCGTGGACTGGGTGAGGTGAGGTGAGGTGAGGTGAGGTGAGGTGAGGTTAGGTGAGGTTAGGTGAGGTTGAATTAGGTTAGATAGGATTTAATTTACACCAATGGTTCATGCATATATATAAACACACTGGGAATAAACATCATCAGTTCACCACGTACACCCACGTGTTGCCTCACAAGCCAGGGTGGAGGAGAGAAAGGGGGGAGTGGGAGAGAGACGGAGGGAGGGAGGAGAGAAAGGTAGAGGGAGGGGGGGAGAAGAAGAGAATGTAATGGCTGAGATAGGAGAGAGGGAATGGGTGAAGGAAAAAATGAGGAAGAAACAGAGGTAAAGAGAAAGGGAAATAAAAGGCGGAGGCACATGAGTTGGGGAATGGGAGAGAACAGGAGGAGAAAGGGGAAATAGAAACGAGGAGAAAGGAGAAGGATGAAGCGGAAAACGAGGGGGAAATTACACGAGGGTGGTGATGTTGACCTGGCAGGAGGGAGGGAGGGAGGGAGGGAAACATCCGGGACCACAGAGAGAGAGAGAGAGAGAGAGAGAGAGAGAGAGAGAGAGAGGAGAAAGATCTGTGTGAGATGTAGAGAAGTGAAAAATGAAACCAGGAGGAACGGAAGACAAGGAGAGGAAGGAGTGAAGGGAGGAATGGGGAGGCCTGAAGTGCCACACTAGACAGACAGACAGACAGACAGACAGACAGAGACACACGTGCTGACGACCCCGATAACTAGACCCCACGTTCTCTTTGTCAGTCTCTCTCAGTTCTTGTTTCATCTATCTCTCCTTCACCTTTCCACACACACACACACACGTTTACCGATCACTGACCTTTAATAAAATGTCTTCCTTTTTCATTTACTATCGGCACACTTTCCGATTTATTCTCATCCAATTTCAGTCAATATTTTCGGGTATTTTCCTAATGTTTTACAGTAATTCTCGCTGCACTGCACACACGGGAAATACCAGACCGTGACGTCACACCAGGAAAAATAAACACTCACGGAGAAAGAGTCAATTACATTACTTGTTAACTAGCGAACTACACCACCAAGCATCCCACCTGTTCCGTGTCGCATCACTGGCCGTCTTGGCGATGGTTGGCGTGTGTGGGCGTGGGTAATGACCGCCCTTCTCCCCCTCCCCCCCGCGTGCACTACGATAGCGAGGATATGAGCTGGTGGGCGTGTGTGGGAGAGGGTACAGAACTACCTCCCTTTGTGGGCGTGGGAGATGATCACCCTCATGGAGATGTGGGCGAGGCGTGCGGTAGCGTGAGGTAAGAGGCGTGCAGGCGGGGTCCTCACCTTAGTGGCCCAGGGCTGGCACTGCTCCACCTCCAGCCACCACCACCACCATCATGTTAAGCCACCGCCCCTACACCACCCATACCCCGCCCACGACACTCAAACCCTGCCCCTACACCACCCATACCCCGCCCACGACACTCAAACCCTGCTCCTACACCACCCATACCCCGCCCACGACACTCAAACCCTGCTCCTACACCACCCATACCCCGCCCACGATACTCAAACCCTGCTCCTACACCATCCATACCCCGCCCACGATACTCAAACCATGCTCCTACACCACCCATACCCCGCCCACGACACTCAAACCCTGCCCCTACACCACCCATACCCCGCCCACGACACTCAAACCCTGCCCCTACACCACCCATACCCCGCCCACGACACTCAAACCCTGCTCCTACACCACCCACACCCAACTAATACTACCCACATCCCTACCCACGGCATCCACACACTTTCTATCAGCTCCTAAACACAACCTTACCCCGTCCACGGTACCCACACGCTTACCAGCACCGGTGGTAGTAGTAGTAGTAGTAGTAGTAGTAGTAGTAGTAGTAGTAGTAGTAGTAGTAGTAGTAGTAGTAGTAGTAGTAGTAGTAGTAGTAGTAGAGAAAGAAATGGGTGAAAGATGAGAGGGAGGAAGATGGTTAATAGTTCGGAAGTTGAAGAAGTTTAGGAGGAGGAGGAGGAGGTAGTAGGTGGAGACTGATCTTCCTCCTGACGGGTAGGTCCTCCATCCTCGGGGGAAGGACATGGCCCACACAGCAGGAGTGAGTGACAGGTGAAGGCTTAAGAGACAAACACTGTGACGTCGACCAGGATGGATGGAAGTACCGTCAAAAAATTAAAGGTAGCTGGCAACCCCCTTAGGGCAGGTTTTTGAGAGGGCGAGGAATGTGTGTAGCGTGGGAGGGCGTGTGTGGGCGTGGATGGTGCCGCGTACACGCCCACCATCATAACCATTACCACTACCATCACCATAACTACAATCCCCACCATCATCACCATCACAAACATTACCACCACCACAAGAAACATGACCCACATTACTCAAGGGTTAAAACCTACCACAGAAAAAAATCTAAGTAAACACAAACAGTCGATAACATCATGAAACCTAAATAAATTAAATGAAAAATAACAAACGAGATTTATGGGTCGTGGCTCCGAGAGTACCTAGGCAGAGCAACACTCACACCAGGAACCTGTCGTAGTAGCTACACCTTCACATCAACAGTGAAATCATTCCACGGTAGTCTAAGGCTGTGTTTAAATGAGGCTACTACATTTGGAACGGAAGGACAGAATTGAGGACGGAAAGACGGAAGCAAGAACGGTTGGACGGACAGAAACAGGAACGGAAAGACGGAAGCAAGGGCGGCTGGACGGACTGAAGTACCCTTACGCAGTTCTTCCCTCGATTGTCTGAGATACTGGGGACATAATATTAAGTAAGGAAACACCAATTACAAATGGTTTTAGGATATGATCGTATACGTCTCGAGGACAAACACTGTGTGACTTTAAGGTCTCCTCACTAGTGCCAAGGCCATCACGATTACAGCCCTCGCCCCGCTTAGCGTTTCGTCAAGGGGTTAAATAAAGAGTTTAAACACAGGCGACGTTTGGTAGAAGGTCCTTTGTGGTGGTACAGGCGTTAGGTGAGGTAGCAGGAACAGGTGTGGTAAAGGGCAAGGTGTGTAGGTGTGGTAGAGGGGCGGTTGAGGCAGAAAGAACACTTGTCATAGAGACCAGGTGTAGTACAAGACCAAGTGTGACAGACGATGCAGGTGTGGTAGAAGGAACAGATGTGGTAGAAGATAGAGGTGTGATAGGAGGACCAGGTGTGGTAGAGGAGGTCAGGCAAGGCCAACAACCTAACCTGGGCCAGCTCCTCTACCTCAAGGGTGGAGTCGAGGTGTGAGTGCCCTGCAGTGTCGTGTGGGCGTGTGTGGGTGCCCTACTCTCACAACAGGCTCACCTTGTTGGTCGTGGGCGTAGCAACGGTACCTTGGGTTGTTCCTGAGTTTGGTGGTGGCATGTGGAGCTGTGTGGGCGTGGTTGGGATGGAGGTAGTGTGTGTGTGTGTGTGTGTGAATTTAGTAGTCGTGTGGGCGTGGTGGTGGTCGCGCATGGTAGTGGTTGTGTGTGGGTGTGGTTAAGGTGATGCTGCTGAGGGTACTGGTGGTTGAGTTGATGCTGGTGGTGGTAGTGTCGTGGTTGAGATGATAGTGGTGGAGGCAGTCTCGTGGTTAGGGGGATGGTGGTGGTGGTGGCGTGGTTGAGATGATAGTGGTGGAGGCAGTCTCGTGGTGGTAGTGTCGTGGTTGAGATGATAGTGGTGGTAGCTTTAGTCGTGTGTGTCTGTTATAGTCTTATGGTTAGCGTGCAGGAGTTGTGTGGTTTCGGTAGTATTTTAGTGGGGTGTGGTAGGTGTGGTACATGTATAGTGGCTGTGGTGGTGTGTGATGAACGGCACTACATTTATCGCCATTCTTTCCAGCTCACAACAAACCAAAGGAAAGGGGGAAATACTCGGGATTCTTCTCGGGTGAAGCCACACGCTGGGGTTACGTCACTCACACCCTGGACACGATTTTACACGACTTGGGAATTTCCAGTCAAGCAAAGAGACATGGAGGAAAAAATTACTAGATTTGAAATGGTTATACAATAAATCTGGGCATTACTTTAGGATAACGCTACATATAAGGACAAGATGACCATTAAGGGAATGTAAATATATAATGAAAGGTGATGAAACACCCGACAACACTCGATTACCAGGATCCGAAGAGTCAAAGATTTGCACATAAAAGATTTTTCTCCCAACTCAAATTAACTAAAATCCCAAAGCACTCACGACGACATAGCGACCACTGATTTATATCGTCAACATAATTTTCACCAAGAAAGGAAAATTTTCACTCACTCGTCTTTAGTATTCCAGGAGGAGTGGGCGAGAAGTGTTCCTGGGAGTGGTTCTTCCTGTCCGTCCTTAAGTCACATATCAACATCATACTTGCAGCTGATGTCACGGGTATCTACATACTATGGATAGCTGGCTATCCTTTAAAATTTATCATAAACCACATTCATCCTCAGTCTCAACTATCAGCACCACAACCACTACAGCAACCCACCACAACCACTACAGCAACCCTTAACACAAACCCACCACCAACCACTACAGCAACCCTTAACACAACCCACCACCAACCACTACAGCAACCCTTAACACAAACCCACCACCAACCACTACAGCAACCCTTAACACAAACCCACCACCAACCACTACAGCAACCCTTAACACAACCCACCACCAACCACTACAGCAACCCTTAACACAAACCCACTACCAACCACTACAGCAACCCTTAACACCAACCCACTACAGCAACCCACTCACCCTACCACCTGTCACCACACCAGCACGTGCTGGTGGCCTGCCCCCTTGAAGACACGGCTCAGCCTACACAAGGGTAATGTCCTGCTGCCTACACTCACTTGTGGCAATGATTGGGATAATGGTGCTCCTCCCTCACACCCTTAAAATTACCTTCTTGCTCTTCTCCTCCAACTCCTTCTCCCTCTGAGTCTTCCTCACCTTCGACATTTCTTATTCGTTTTCGTTCTCTTAAATAATTGTTTCACCCCAACTCTTTTTTAATTATTTTTTATGTCTAATTCTTAATCACAATTTTCTTCTCCAACTCTTCACTCTCTTTTATTCCCTATTTTTTCTTTAACTTCTTCTCTTCCTCTTCCAATTCTTATTCCCGTCTTCGCCCGGTAGAGTCTCCCAAGTATTTCCCCGTGAGCTGCCGGTCCTTCCCACCTAAGACAAACAACACGTGACCATAACAAAGCCTAGTTCTGATACATGTACACAGACATCACTCACAAGACTCTACCTCCTTATACTCGCATATCAGAGGTTATACACACGCTCACAAGGCTCTACCCCTTATAAAGCTATACTTAAGGCCATACACTATACCCACACAGGTATATATACTTGCAACCTGGATCACATACACAATACCCTCAAGGCTCTAAACTCATATCCAAGGTCACACACACACACAGGTTTACCCTTACATTCAAGGTCATTTATCATACGCCTTGCCCACGCAGGTCTACCCTTATACGCTTATCCCCGAGGTCATATATATACATCGCGCCCACATAGGACTACTACCCTTGTAACCGGAGTTTTTTTTTAAGTTTATACACCACACGCCTACATTAGCTATCACCTACTGTATATACACTGACAATGCTGAGCGGTAACGTCACAAACAGCTAGTAGTGAAGGGGGTAGGGATGAAAAGAAGCCCCCGGTCTATTGACAAAGTCCGCACTAGTTGATTGTGTGTTTTTAGGTTTATACTGGTTGGGAAACGTTTCTGGTTCTACAAACGTTAGCTATGTTGCATTAGTGGATCAGTTAAAAGTATTTTCTCTATATACTGTATATATCTCTCTCTCTCTCGGAGGCTATTCTCAATCAATCTATTTGTCCATCAATCATTCGCTGTATCAATCTGAATATCTCTTCTCAATTTCTTTCTGACGCTATTGCCCAAATTTTCATCAATGTTCCTGTCTTTTTTCCGTTCCTGTATATTTTCCCATTTTTTGTCTTATTATCTGCCATAACCTAATTTACAATAAATCATGTTCTATAAATGTTTCCCTTTCTCTCTCCGTAAGGTTATCATCATCTCTTTCTTCCTCTCAACGATCATCTCCTATTGTACTTGTCAACATGAATGACCTTCCAACAAGCACGTGCACCAGCCTTGTCATCGTCTCCGGGAGGAAGTGAGTAACACGCAAGACAAGGAAGAAAGAGAAGAGTGTCACCGACACTGTATGAAGCTAAGTGCCCCTGAAATGGCAGATCTCTCTCAGCTGTAGGTGGGTTGGGAGGGTGTGCAGGCAGGCAGGGTGGGCGTTCTCACTTTCTCTCATTTTCTTTGTTCATTAATACCTCCTGGCTCAATCGAAGTATTCCTTACTACTTTTATCTCCTCACCTTCCAGACCTTCTCACTTAGATATCCATCCTCACTTAGTACCACTTGCTCCTCCTTCTCCTCACCACACACACTGATACACAGACCATCCCCACTCTTATCACCCACCCCGTGTCTTTCTCAACAACTACAGATGGCAAACAAACTCTTGGTTGTAGAAGACGTAAACAAGACCTGCTGTAGCTAGTCAGGGGGTCGTAATAATGAGATAAGAGTCATCCACAAGACTTAGTGGAGACAGTTTATTAATGGCAACGCAGAGTCGTAACACCACTAAGTATGTAAAAGTCGTCAACAAGACCTACTGACTGTCAACACATGAGTCAACAACACCTACTGACTGTCAACACATAAGTCAACAAGACCTACTGACTGTCAACACATTAGTCGCCAACAAGACCTACTGACTGTCAACACATGAGTCGTCAACAAGACCTACTGACTGTCAACACATGAGTCAACAAGACCTACTGACTGTCAACACATGAGTCAACAAGACCTACTGACTGTCAACACATGAGTCAACAAGACCCACTGACCTACTGTCAACACATGACTGTACACGTCAACAAGACCTACTGACTGTCAACACATGAGTCAACAAGACCTACTGACTGTCAACACATTAGTCGCAAACAAGACCTACTGACTGTCGACACATGAGTCAACAACACCTACTGACTGGCAACACAAGAGTCTTAACTACATCTTAATCTGCCTTCCCAGTCATTTAATGGTTATGAAGGAAACATAAACTACGGCCTTCAACAAACACTCAAGGTCGAACAAATAAGCTCTCGCGCCCGGCCGGTTCTTCAAGGCTTGTTAAATGTGTATTCTTGCGGAAATAAAGATGTACGATTGCATCTAACTTCCGCGTAAATGGTGATGTATGAATACACTTGGCGGACTTATTCATAATTATACAAAATGGAATTGAAATTACACCAAGACCTGAAGCGTAAATGAAATAAAATAAAATTATACAAAATAAAAACTGCAATATAATGACTCCTAGACTAATATAGCGACAGTGTTAAAGTTATCATCACATCCTGGTATATTTACTCGGCTATCAGCACGCGTTCATTTCAAAATTAAGGTACCATCATCACGCCCAAATTATCGGCCCCCCAAAAGTTACAGGAAAATGTCATTAATATATATTACACACATTCTAATTAGCCTAAATAAAGATAAGATTGGTTTGGTTAGTGTTAACGCAAGGTTAAGTACAGGGTAAGGTACGGTTAGGTGGCATTTGTGACTTCTTCAACATTCAAATTGTCTACTTAATTATCCCGTTCGTTATACAGTATTTTATCTCTCAATTAAATCCAGTTAACACCTTATCATAGCCTGATAAATCGTCGAATTAAATTAACCATTTTATTACCTTCCCCCTCACCTCTTATCTGAGATACACACCTACGCACCACCAACACACTCAACAACACTCTGAGATACGCACACCAACACACCCTGAGATACGCCCCAACACACACACACACCCTGAGATACGCTCCAACACACACACACACACATAAGAACATAAGGAGTCTGCAATAGGCCGATTGGCCTGTGCATGGCAGCTCCTGTCGAGAGTTACTACCACTCTCTATCATCATGAATCTATCTAGCCTCCTTTTGAAACTTTCCAGAGTTCCCGCACTTACTACAAAGTTGCTAAGCTTGTTCCACTCGTCCACCACCCTATTTGTGAACCAGTTTCTTCCTATCTCCCTCCTAAACCTAAACTTATCCAACTTGAATCCGTTGCTCCGAGTCCTATCCTGCTCGGATATTATAAGAACTTTATCTATATCCCCTTTATTGATTCCTTTCACCCACTTAAATGCTTCTATCATATCTCCCCGCACTCTTCGTCTTTCTAGGGAATGCAAGCTAAGTTTCTTTAGCCTATCCTGATATGGAAGGTTTCTAAGTCCCGGAATCATTTTTGTCATTCTTCGCTGCACCGACTCTAGTGAATTTATATCCATTCTATAATCGGGGCACCAGAACTGAACAGCATAATCGAGGTGTGGCCTGACTAGCGCAAGATATAGTTGCAATAAGACCTCTGCACTCTTATTACTTACACTTCTCGATATAAAACCCAATACTCTGTTTGCCTTATTTCGAACATTAACGCACTGTTTTCTAGGCCGTAGGTCCGGGCTTACAAGTACCCCTAGGTCTCTTTCACAAGTCGACTTCTCTAGGTTGATGTTGTTGAGGCTGTATACATTATAAGTATTTGTTCTTCCTATATTAAGTACGCTGCACTTGCTGGTGTTGAATTTAATTTGCCATTTTTCAGACACACACACACACACACACCCTGAGATACACACACACACACACACGCACCATGAGATAAGCCCCAACACATACACACACCATGAGATAAGCCCCAACACACACACACACTGACCTTAAACCTTGAGAAAACCCACGACACGATCTTTCACAGAAGGAAAAACTTACCCCCAGACTTGGACCCCCTGTACCTTGGTAATACAGTCCTCAAATGCGAACAAAATACTAAATTCCTCGGAGTTATTGTTGATGAGAAACTTAACTGGAGAAACCACATACAAGCCATTCACAGTAAAGTCAATAAACAGTGCTGTATCATGTATCACACTGGACAGTCACTCACTCTCACAGCAATAAAAGAATTCTATCATGATCTTGTCTACCAACACCTGATACACTGTCACACATATGGGGGGGCCTCTGGCTCTTCAAAAACACAATCCCTGGTTACTGCACAAAAGAGAGTTGTACGGACAATGACTACTTGAAAAAAAAAAAAAACAGATCACGCAAACGAGAAATTTGCTACATTGAAAATTTTAAAATTCGAAGATATTAATACCTACTGCTGTGCCCTCTTTGTTTACAAATCTATCAATCACTTGCTTGACAATAATTATTTCCAGTTCCGGAATAATCAGAGATACAACTCAA